TTCGCCGAGCTGCTTGCGCCCTCGCCCGATGGTGCTGCGCCGCCACTCACCCTCCAAGCTATGCTGTCATCGCTCCGCGGCGCTCCGCCTGGTGCCCCGCGCTAATCTCCTCCTTTCTGCCTGCCCGTGTGTACGCGTGGCCCCGCGTCCACGGTGTCAGGGCGCGGGGGCGGGGGGTGCCCCGTCCCTGCCAAGCCGCCTAGCCACGTGCACGTCGCCTTTCTTGTTGGGGCCTTCTTCGTCACGCGGTCTGACACGTGAGATCTTCACCGTCTGTCCGCCGTCTGTAGCGTCTGTCGCATTGCGCCGGGGGAGGGGGTTTGTTGCTCGCCCTCGCATCTAAAGGCTGCACCGCCGCAAATAGTGTTTGGCGAGTTGTCGCACCGCAGTGCGCCTCGCGGACGGACCCTGGTCCGCCTACTTGTCCGATCTCTCTCTCTCGCTCTCTCTCTCTCTCTCTCTCTCTCTCTCTCTTTTCCTTCCCCTCTCTCTCTCTCTCTTCTCTCTCTCTCTCTCTCTCTCTCTTCTCTCTATCTCTCTCTGTCTCTTTCTTTGTTTTTTCCCGGCCATCCTGTGGTGTTGGGTCCTCGTTTTTGAAAGAGCGAGTGCCCGCGTTCCCGCTTCCTTCCCCCCCCCCACCCCCCCCCCCCCCCTCCTCGTGCCTCCGCACGCCCATTCTGGGCTGGCACACCCCTCGCGCGTATTTGGTGGGGCCCCGTAAGAGGAGCTGCAGCGCAGGCCCCAGGGGCGGCTGCGTCGGCGCATGGCGGGAGCCTCGGAGGGCGTTCCCGCATTCCTTCCCCCCCCCAACCCCCCCTCACCCACCACTCCCCCCCGCCTCCCCCCCAACCCCCCCCCCCCCCCCCTCCCCCCCCCCGCCCACCCCCCCCCCCCCCCCTTCCCACGCCTTCTGGCACGCTCTCTCGTCACGTTTTGTGTGGCCCGCCGTAGGGAACTCCAGCGAAGCCCCAGCGGCTGGCGTCCCATGCGTTCCCGCCCCCCCCGCCCCCCCCCATTTCGGCGCAGCCCTCGCGCGCTTCGTGGCCCCATAGGGGGCTCCAGCGAAGGCCCCAGTGGCTGCGTCCGCATGCGGTTCCACCCCTCAATTTCGGCACACCCCTCGCACGTTTCCAGTGGCTGCGTCCGCATGCGGTTCCACCCCTTAGGGTGAAAGCGTTTGTGGTTGAAACTACTGGGCAGACGAAGAATGCCAAGGCAGACGACGCGCAGAATTCTGTTGCACATTCCGGGTGGCCCTGCCGCGCAAAGTCGGCCCGCACAAGGCGGGCCTCGGCGAAGCAGGGGGGGGGCGCGCCCCCCCTCCGAGGGGGGGCGAAGGAGGGGCAACAAAGGGCTCGGTGGGCCTGTCGGCTCGACGAACGATTTGGGCCCCAACCCGGGAATGCTTAAGCTTGCTGACGCCCGCGTCCGCTCACGGGCAGGGCCGATGCGGGCTTTCGATCGGCGGCGGAGATCCGCGATTCTATGCCGCCACGCTGGTTCCGGGCAGGAGGCTGTGCTGCCCGGCGGAAGGGGACGAGGAGGGGAGAAGCAGGCAGACGACGACGAACGCCCAGGCGGGAGGCCAGGGCCGGCGGGGCGGGCGGGCAGGCAGAAGACGGGCCAGACGGAGACAGCAGGCAGGGAGCAGGAGGAAAGGAAAGGGAGGGAAGCAACGAGCAGAAGCGAAGGGAAGGGGAGGAGGGGGAGGAGGACAAGGAGGAGAGAAAACAGCGGCCGCAAGCAGACAGGCCGGGCCAGGGGCCGGGAGAGAAGAGCCGCCCGCGACGAGGCTGCGGACCCTACGGCGGCGACCTGGGCGGGGTGGCCGCCCGAACCCAGCGCGATGCGGCTTGGTGGGGATTGCCCTCTGCGGGATCCATCCGCCGCCCCGCCGGGGGAAGGCCGGGCGGCGCGTGGGAGGGGTCGCCGGCGCGACGTTGGCGAAAGGGTGAGGGGGGCGCCCGCGCTGCCCAGCAAGGGCGGGGGGGGGGGTGGGCGGGGGGCGCTAGGCAGCGCAGGGGGCACCTCGCACGGCGTCTGCCGTGGAGGCCGCCGTGGCCGCGGCCAGGCGGGCCGCTGCCACCCCCGCCCCTCCAGACAGGGTCTGAAGGCGCCGCAACACCGCCCGCGCGTTCTCCCTGTGCCGGGAGACGGAAAGTCGCTGGGCATGTTGGTCCGCAACCAGTGCGGCGTCTTCCCCCGTGGCGTCAGCCACCCGCTTGGCCAGGACCCCGAAGGCCCTGCGTGCCTCGCGGCCCCACCCGCCGCCGTGGGCTTCCACCACCAGGGGGAGGAAAGTGAAGCCCTGTGCCGCGCAGAGCCGCGCGGTGTCCTGGTGCTGCCTTTTGAACTCCTCGTACCGCTCCGTCGCTGCGCTTGACGAAGCGGCCGACGCGGCGAGGAGATCGGCGCGCAACCCTGACGTGGCGGCAAAGTCCCAGGCGGCCGGCGTGCCGTTGCGCCACCGCGGCAGGTAGACGTCGGCAGGGCGGCGGCCGTTGTCGTCCACCTGGGACCCGCCCTGCTCGCCCCCGGGGGTGGCCTCCCCGGCGGGGCGCGCGGGTAGCAGCCCCGGGCGCTCCAACTCCGCCCCGGCGTGGCCGGCGGCCAGGGCGTCGAAGAAGGCCTGGTTGCGCAGGGCGCTGTGGCGTTTGGTCCGGTCGCCGCGGCAGGCGCAGACCAGGGCGTGGTCGCAGAAAACGTCCATCACCTCGCCACAGGCTGGGCAGAAGCACTCCTCCTGCAGGAGCTGGACTCGCAGCCGCCTCTGCAGGCCGACCTGCATGAGGCCGCGCGGGAAGGCGGTGCCGGTGGCCTCGCAGGGCGGCGCCTGGAGCCACGCGGCCGCGCCTGGGGCTTGCACCAGAGAGAGGTGCGCCCTGCCGGCCAGGGTGGAGCCCGCCAGAAGTCAGTCGAGCGAGGCGCTGTCCACCGCGTCGGAGAGGGCCTTCTGGTTGCCGTGCTGCGCGTGGTCGAACACCACCCGGTCGGCGTCCCGCACGACTGCGTTGTGGGCCTGCACCGCAGCCGCCAGGCTACCTCCGTCGCGGTCGGGGTTGTTGGAGTAGCCGGGGTAGAGCTGCCGACAGAGGTCGATGCTCTTCGCTCTGGAAGCGATGTAGGCGGCGGCGGCGTGCTTCGCGGCAGAGCGCAGGCCAAGTCCTCCGTTCCTGAGCTTAAGCTGAGCCTGCTGCCAAGAAGCGTCGGAGGGCGAGCAGCCGCTCAGTTGCTCAAGGCAGGCCCGGACAGCGTCGTCCATGGCCAGCAGGGAGGCGGCGTGCGCGGTGGGCGGCACCACGCGCGCGGAGTAGCCCAGCTTGCAAAAGGAGGCGCACTGGCGCAGGAGGTGCAGCGCGACCTGCGCGTTTTCGAGCTCCCCCAGAGCTTCCAGCAAGTCGGTGGCGCTCGCGACCCGCTGCTTGGTGTGCTCCGCGCAGAAGTCCGCGTCTCCCTCTGGCGCGCCGAGCAGCTCGAAGCTGCGATCGGTGCGGAGGCGGAAGCCCGGCGGGAAGCCGTCCAGAGACACGTCGGAGGCGTCTCCGCCAGTGGGGGCCACCTCACACTTGCCCGGGCCGGTGCTCAGCTGGAGGCCCACCGCGGCAAGGCTGGCCACGAGCAAGTGGAGGAGGCGCGCGACGGCCGGCGCGTCGCCCGCGAGGCAGCCGTCGTCCAAGTAGAAGAAACTCAGGTCGACGGCGCCGTCGGCGCCGTGGCGCGGCGCGCGAAGGGCGGCCTCGGCGGCGCGCTGTAGTGCTAGGGAGAACAGTAAGGGCCCCAGGGGGTCGCCCTGCTGCACCCCGCACTCGGAGCGGACTGTCTGTTTGCCCAGGAAGAGAGTTGACGGGCGGGAGTAGCACCAGTCGGCCCAGGGTGCCAGCCCGGGAAACTCTTCGTGGACCGCGCGGAGCAGAGCCTGCCTGTCCAGGGTGTTGAAGGCGTTGGACAAGTCTAGCTTCACAAACACCTTTCCCCGGTCCCCGAGGTGGCGGGTCCACCACTGGCGCGCGACGTGCACCGCCGCCTCGGTGCCGCCAGGTACCGCGACGCCGATCTGGAGGGGAGCCAGTCGGTCGCGCGCGGCGTCGGCAACCTCGTGGCAGAGGCACTTGCCGACGAGGCGCCGGAGCACCTCCCCGACGGCAACAGGGCGCAGGCCTCCGTCCTTCTTCGGCAGGGCCACGAGAGAGGCGCCCGCGAAGTACTCGGACACGGTCGTCGGGGCCTGCCCCCTGGCGCAGAGGTTGACAAGGTTCTGGAGCTGGTCGGTGACCTCGTCCCTGTGGGCCGCGTTGAGCAGTGCGTCTTTGAGGTGTTGGGGTCGGAGGCCCGTTGGCCCGGCGGCCGAGCCCCGTGGGAAGGCCCGCACCTCCCTACGGACCGCGCCCCCGTCCATCTGCAGGGCAGCAGCCGCGTGGACAGCCGGAAGGCTGGCGGGATCCACGGCTTGGCGGCTGCGCGGGTGCTTCCGGCTCATCTGTTCAACGACGTCGGGGGTGACCTCCACGGGCGGCTCGCTGGTCAGAGCCGAGCAGCTCTTGGAGTACTGGGCGTCTGCGGCGAGCTGCACGCACCTCTCCGCTCGCTGGGAGGCTGGCGAGGCGTGCTTGGCAGCGCGAGCCTCGACTGCCTCGGCCCACAGGGAGGCCCGCTCCCCGTCCAGCCAGCGCCGGCACAACGCCTTGGTCTGCGCTTCGCCGGCCGCCCTGCTGCCTCGGCCGCCACGGGCGCGAGGGCGCAGGACGCATTTCGGAGGAGGAGGAGAAGGAAGAGGAGGAGGAGAAGGAGGAGGAGGTAGAGGAGGTAGAAGAGGAGGAGAAGGAAGAGGAGGAGGAGGAGGAGGAGGAGGAGGAGGAGGGCATAGCAACAGATGGCATAGCGCGGCATGGCATAGCGCACATTGGGTCGACGTTCGTGACAAGCTGGTTTTGGCTCAGAGGGTTTGCGTGTACAGAGATATTTATGTGATCACTCCCACGCAGTAGCAGGCTCCCTGCCAG